CCAATATTAGGATACCCAGACTTTGATAAAATGTTTTATTTATTTACTGACGCCTCAGGAATTGGATTAGGAGCCGTGTTTGCACAAAAGGATGATCAAGAAAAAGAGAAAGTAATTGCCTATGCAAGCAGAACCCTTAATATACATAAATAAAATTATAGCATCCAAGAATTAGAATGTTTAACAATCAACTGGGCAGTCAAATATTTTCATCACTACACTTTCTTGAAACCCTTTATTTTAGTAACTGATAATGCAGCATTAAAATGGTTACAAACTTCAACTGTGAAAAATTGGATCAAAAGAGCTAGATGGTTACTAAATCTTTAGCAGTATACATTTCAAGTTCAACATCATTCAGGCAAAAATAATGCAAATGCTGATGCCTTATTCAGAATTGATCCTGATAATAACGAAGATTCTGATGAAATTATGGAAACTTACATGATTTCTATACAAACTGATAAAAGCTTTGATGAATTGGAAGAAAAAGAAATCCAATTGTATATCTCTTCACCAGAAAATAGTATGAAAGAAAACGATAATGAATCCTATTTTGAGTAAGAATTGATAAATCAATTTGGAAATCACTTATTGATTACTGTCAGATACCAATGTCCAAAAGGTGAAATGATCGAAATTTACAAGGAAAATATTAAAGTCAAACAAGTAATTGCAAATTAACTGATTACCAAGGGAGACTCTAAACACACTGACTTTTGTGATATTGAAAAACATTACATTCACATGTATTGCAAGGCGTGTAAACATAATTTACCTTATAGAATCATTCTTCATAATTGTATTATTGGATTTGAACATCCTAACATGAACCCTAACTATTTAACTAATGCTTGTGGTAGACTGAACCTTTACTTGTTCAACAAGAAAATGCTTATGCATAATTGTTCGCTATACTCTAATAATTTTATTCTAACATCAACAAAATAACAGAGTGAAAGCGAAAGTGTCAACATTGTGATTGACAGCTCAAGTTTTAAAAATGGAAGAAAATCGATACAATCAACTTAAACATTATTTAATTACGTCAAATTTACCAAATGATAAGAAATTAGCTGCACAAATTATCAGACAGTCAAAACATTTTATTATTTTAGAGAATCGACTTTATAAAAGAAATAAGAGAAACCCTAGAAGCTATTTTAAAGTACTGAAAACAAATGAAATAGAAACAATACTCTTTGTAACGCATAATCATCCTACCGGCGGACATTTAGGAACAGAAAAAGTCTTCGAAAAAATTAGAGAAAATTATTATTGGCCGCAAATGTTTGAAGACATTAGAAATTATATTAAAGCCTGTGACTCTTGTCAAAGAAGAGGGAAGCCCTCGAAAAACAGTACTCTTTTACACCCAATACCAGTAGGAAAGCCCTTTGAGAAAATAGGAATAGATTTTGTAGGACCATTACCATTGACCAACAAAGGAAATCGTTATATAATCGTGGCCACTGATTATTTAACCAAATGGCC